CGCACAGATACCACCTGGGGGAGAAATCAGCCTTCTCGAGCGTGTTTTCTGTGTCTTCCTGGGTCCTTCCAAATTGTGAAGTTTGTTATTGCTTTTTTTTTTTTTTTTTTTTGCAGCCCCGCTTAGCTGCTCACTTCCTTGTGAACTTTTCCATGTATAAGAAGGCACTTGTTAACTATAAAATATGAGCAAAAATCTTTGCATCATGAGTGTTCTTGTTTCTAGTGTGTGAGGGGGGCCTTCATTAATGATGTGTTGTGCTGAAATGGAACCTACCTTTGCTGGTCCTTGCCCAACATTTAGGTGAACTGGGCATAAAGTAAATGAAAATATCTCTGGGATTCCCTCTTCTCTCTCTCTCTTTTTCTCTTGATAGTAGTACCATGCCAGGGAAGTGGCAGGCAAGATGCTTTTTCTGATGCATCTGCCTCTGTGGTCAGCAGAAATCTGCTTCTTCTCAAGCTTAGACGAGTTACATGGACCAAGCTGTGCTAGACTAGTCAGTATCCTAATTTAGAGAGTGAGATTTCATCCAAGTTGAAGATACTTCAAGGACTCTCATGTAGGATCCAGCTGAAGACGTCCTAACATCCGCTCCCCTAACGTCTCTCCTAACCCGGGTAATTGTTCGGGCTCTAAGCAGTGCAGCAGAACATTTGGACATCTCTGTGTCTATTTCAGTGCACATCTGGACCACCTGCAACAAGCAGTTAAGCTAAGACACAGTAGTGTGAAGAAAGGCAGCCGGGACGCATAGGTATCTGTTCAAGCTCCCTCACTATGGACAGCAACTACCAGGAGAGCATCTGGCTGAATACCCTAAACCAGCAAAACAAACTCCTCATTAGAGCGCTCAGAAAACCAGAAGGCTGGCTCAGACTGTGCTTAGATCTGTTTTATGTTTTGTCATTAGCCTAGATTATTGGCTGGGAGGTTTCCTTCCACGTGAAACATCTACCACAGGGAAAAAAAATCAAAAGGAGACCAGAAGAGAAGTTGTTGAAGTGCATTTTGCTGGTGCCATGGAACACATGGCACTGTGGACAGGATGATTTTGTTTTCAGAGCGTAGAATTACTGTTTTCTCAATATTCCTGCAGTGGGCCAGCTCCAGAGCTTTCTCATACCTTTTCTTACTTTCTGCACAGAAGGAGTGGTAGCAGCTGCCAGGGTGGCCTCTGAAGGCGGGTGAAGGTGGCAGCTGCCAGTGATAGCAAGGAGTTAGGTTTGGTAAAACAGCAAGTGTAAAATATTTATGAGCTGCTAGGAGTAAGTACTTCCTGTTACCACTGGCAAACTGCCAAACAACAGGCCTTTCCATGGAGGACCTAAGGGCACTTCAGCTCCGCACCTCTTCATAGGTGCTGTCCAGCACAGCACCGGCTCCTCTGCCGCGCAATGCGGTTATGCAGCTGTAGAGGTTTTCCGGGGCTGCTCCGCACGTGCGGACTCCAGTTGTCCCCCTCTGGCAGTGAGGGGCTATAATGTGAAGGAGAAGGCACAGTAAGAGGTTTCACCACCTGTCAACAGAACAGGCTAAAGCTCGTTAGCTGGCAGCGCTGAGGCTTGTTTTGTGAGAGTGCTGCGCAAAGCACCAAGTACAGCAGAAAGTACCACGTGCAGCTTAGGGAATTCTAACCTCAAGTTTATGGCTGGATGGAATTCAGTGAAAGGTACCATCTAGCGTTTGTTTTAATTACAGACACTTAAAACCAGCCTCGTAAAACACTTAAGAGAATGGCCTGCACTCAAGATATAATTTCCATTGGCAATTCAAATAAACATCACTTTTCCTCAATTATTTTCAAGGTAAAGCACAGAAAATACCCACATCTATTTCAGAAGACATCCAGTGGGTCAAATAAGTCCACTTCTGCTGGGACTGAGCTGAAATTTTTGAAGAGCTCTTTAAGCTTAAAACCTGATCTTGTTCCATAAAGTACGTGTGAGTGAAGAGTGGTTGGAAATACTGAGAGAACGTATAAGCACCACTTCCTTTGTAAATACAGTTACACAGGGAAAGCTTTCACTGAGGAAGTAGCCTCTGAATGAGGGCTAGTGAATGAAATACAGCTAACCAGGCAAGTTTGCTGCCACAGTGGTGTCACTGGTGAAGATTCCCACATAGTGACACAGAGAGACCTCTCGCCTTTCGACCCTCATCACTATACAGTGCAGGCCATCGTAGTTGTTGTGAAAGGGCAAAATCCTGTTAGCATCTGGATCCAACTTGTTCCTAATAAGGATTTTTTTTTAAGACTGAGAAATCTGATCCAATTAACACATTTTCGATTTTGCTGAATACAGTGCTAATTACACGCAAGGAATCATTGCTGGGTTAATTAAACATTCATCCCAAAACCTAAAGCACTAATCTAATTAGCAATTACTACAGCTGTCATTACCTCTTTTCACCTAATTTTAAGCTATGCAAATTTACACTAAGAGTCTAGCCCTGCAGACTCCTTACATGAATAGCTTTCTTTTGCTGCAGTGTTTGAAGACACAGAAGGAACTTTAAAATTCCGTCTGAATACAGCAGAAAATATAACTTCAGTTCTGCCATCCTCATACGCTAAAGTCTTAATTTATAAGGCACTTCAAACAACAAAAATATAACAAAAATCAGGAAAATCTAAAATTAACATATTTCAAAAATTAGAAAATCTATTGGTCACTTAGGCCATCCTGTCAAGAGATTATCTGCAAGTATAGAGACTGAAATGTGCTTGCATCAAAAAACACAGAAATTTGTATATATTCACAGCAGTTGTTGGACTCTCAGGAGACAATGACACAATTATTGACACAATGAGAGGATAAAGTTGGAACCTGGTGCCTTTTGAGCTGTTTTTCCTTAGCTGGTTTAAAAAGAGCACTAATAATCACATACAGTAATTCAGAGAGGCTTGGTAAGGTGCTGATGCTGAACCTTGAGGGCAGGGAGTTTACAACATACTTTAACAAAGCAGCACCATTAGGGTAGATTGTGCAACTGGATATTCCCAGTAAAGATACTGCCCGTCCTCTGCTGGGAAAAAAGCACTATCTGGAGAAGCTTACCATGTCATCTGAAACTGCGTGGCTACCAGCTTTTGTGTGTGTAAGGAAACCATTTCTTTGATCCTAACCGAAGTAATACCAAGCAGAGTGACATGTGCTGGCAGGTTTCTGAAGCTGGGTGCAAGCTCATTTCACTGGCTAGCAGCTTGAGAAAGTTGGTCAGCCTTATAAAGCTGAGAGGAAGAGTTAGCATAAATATTTATGTGGTGTAATACTTTCAATACAAGGATGATCAGAACCCTGCCACTTGCTATTAGGATTGACATACAGCATGCCCTACCGCAGCAGCAGCCGCACACATTTAACATACTAGTCCTTGGTGCAAAAGGATAGAGAGAAAAGCTTTGCTTAGTTTTGATACTTTTTTTTAACATAATTACATATTTTTTAAAAAAGACAGCTATATACTAATCTTCAGCTTTCTCCTCACAGGTAGCCTGCAAAGCAAACAATGATAACATCAGAGACCCAGTATCTGAATGTCATCAGTTGCAGTTTTCAGCAGACATTTAAAAACACTCTAAAGCTATAGCTTGCGAAGTTGTGTGAGATGCTTCTTGACCACATTGTAGTCCATGTAAAAGTGATTCATTTATTCAACCTGTAGATCGATCATCTGTATTAATACTGATTTCCAATTCCAGCTACCCAACAAGCTGTAGGTAATTTAATAAGAGGTCTGTGAGTTTGGAAATAACACTGGAACAGGTTCCCAGAGGAGTGTATGGCTAGAAAGTGTAGCTGCTAGTGGCTGGTGTCTGGCTAGAGTACCAGGACAGTGAGGCAAATCCAGAGAGGAGCAACCAGAGAGGGCAGAGAAGCCGGCAGCTGGACCACAGGGCAGCACTCTAATCCTCGCCTAATCATTAGCTAGACTTAGGGTCAGGCCTTTCCTAATAGAGAGACAAAAGGCTTTTTCTGCTTTTCCTATAAAGCTATGCAGTTATAGTCATGGTGATACAGTCCATGGGGGTGATCTATCTTAGCTTGGGGTGTGATCTATCTTAGCTGTTGAGAACTTTAGCTTCCTTTTGCTGCCAGTGTTCATGAGACTGGAAAACGTCCTTTGCCTTTCCAAATTTGGTGGGGATTCTTGTTTTTTTTTTTTTTTTTTTTTTTTTTGGAGGGGGAGGGTTTGGGAGAAGACAAAGGTATTTCCAATTTAAATAAGAAAATGCTCTCAGTGATTTCTGGTATTGTTGTGCAGGTATTGCACATGCCATTTTTTTCATTTTTTATCACTGTCTTCTAGGTAAAAGTTTCAATAAAAATACTTATGCCACCTTTAAAATACATGCAGAGTGAAAATTGAAGTCTGTAAAAGAAGAGGATTGATTTATGTAGCAAAATACAATGTGCAGCAACCGTGTACATGTGTAGTGAGGTGTGCTGGCTCTTACTGGTGACTGAACTCAGCTGAGAGGAGTCAAAATGAACCAGTCACAGCTCTATCTCTGCCTAATGTCCACATATTTTACACTGCCCACTTATTACTGTGACATAAAAACAGACCTTGTTTTCCAGTGAGGAGTCTAAATCACCATCTGTTTTTTTCAGCAAAGCTGTATGGGCAGCCCCTGCATGCAGGGGCAATATAAACCAGCTAGAGGTAAAACACTGGGATTTTGCATGGATTTCGTTCTTCAGCTGCTCTTTAATAGCAGCCTGGAACCAGTGAAAGGAAGGCTGGAAGTTTTTTTAAAGATTCCCGAGTTTAAGTAAGATCTGCGTAAGCTCAGTACCCTTTCTTTAACAACTGAAGAAATGTGGTGCATCTCAGGTAAAATTATGATCAAAGCAGAAAAGCAGTTTAAATAGAAAAACAATTTTTAATTATTGGTGAAACTGTGTACTGAAAAAAATGTTTTTTTTTTTCATTGGCAAAATGAAAATGAGAAATGTGTATAATCAGGGAGTTTAGCAGTTCATATGAGGACATTAGTTATGCTCATCCACATCTGTATGCAAGTCTGACTGTAGTGATCTTATTGCAGCGTCTTTGATCTTCTGGATCTCACATTTGCATTCCTCCACAATCATGACTTCTTTGACCACAGGGACAGAACTGGTGCAGTTGAGCTCCAAGCGCTTCATGGAGAACTTGGTGGGCAAGCAATGTGAACAAAAGGTGTGAAGATGCTCATCTGGACCAGAGACGTGGAAGGAGCTGCACTTTCCAAAGCAAAGATTATTCTGCACCATCACCTTCTCACAGCTCTCATGAGCAACGCCCTGTAACAGAAAGCAGTTTGAAGATCACAAATACTAGCACTGGTTTGTGAATATAGGTTAGATCTTTATCTGGCTCTTCCTGATACTTGAATGATCTCCATGGATTTTGCAAGAAGGCATAAATCAAAAAAAAACACCACATCTATACAACTACTGTACTTTTTCTTCTCAGAACATTTCTATTAAAATGTTAATTTTGTGTCAAAATAGCAAGAAAGTTTAAGAGCTTTTAAAAGAAAACGAGAGCCCCATTATTAATCTTTATAATGAACAGCATTTCGATCATTTGTACCTTTTAGTTGCTGTTTTGAATCTACATTTCTGTAGATTAAGCAGTATTACTTGCTTAGTAGTACTTAAAACATCATTTTGGTCCAACATACTTGTTTATTAACCACAAGCCAGGCTCACACCTAAAATCTTGAAGATTTGTCTTCACCAGGAGAAATAATTTTCTTTGGTGCTTTTTTTTTTAATAAGCAAATTTTGATAGGAATTGTCATCTATTTCATGTCATTGCATGAAAGACAGTTCCTTGTATCAGGTTAGCCGTGTCAATTCCAAAGCCAGAAATGCTACTGTGAAGTTAGCACTTTTATACTGGCACAACTGCAGCCATCCCAGAAAAACAAACCGTATGACAGGACCGAAAAAAAAGGAAAAGAGTGCAGGTTTCTAGGCCACATCTGTGTTTGCAGATATCTGTTGATAAGCAAATTAGGTGAGGGACGTGAAAACATACTGTTCCTGACTGGGGTGACAGAAACCCTGGGAATAGATGCAGGCTTATGAAGAAATGTGCACGTCTCTCTGCGCTGTTTGCTCATCTGGGTGTGACGGTGGATGTGGCACGATGGTTTCACCTTTGCCTGGGGTGCTTCACCACCTCTCCAACATTGCTGGCACAGAGGTGCAGCTATGCATCATGCTTCAGCTAATGCAGTAGGTAAGAGGTCCTTGCCTAGCCATATGAAAACAACCTGTTTCTCTTTGAATACCACATATATATATATATATATATAGTATGTAGACACTGTATAGTTGTATATTCACTACTAACAGATAATTGCCTAACCCGCCCTGCCTGGTCAGGTTAGATTAGGTTACAGCTTCCTTGGATAAAGAGAAAAATAACTCTTTCTGAACACAGAATGTGTTGCCTTCCAGCACTTCAGTTTAGTAGTTTGTCCCATCAGACTAGAGCTTCCTCAGAAGGTCTTTCTCAGTCACTAAGTGGGTCCGTTCCTGAAGTGGCCGCATGACATAGCGAATGAACTCATGTGTATTTCTTTAGTTACAGATTATAGGGAAGGGTCACATTTACTACCTTGGGCAGCTGTTCTTACCTGGGAAAAAGGCAGGGTTCTGCAGGTTTCCTGGTGCATTTCATTGGTCTTGATTGGCAGCACAACCTCTTCAGAAGCTGCATTCTTCTTCAGCATGAAGTGGTCCCAGAATCTCTTCGCATCTTTTCTATAGAGAGGTTCAGCTTCTCTCTTGCTGGAAGAGTGGTATGGAGAGAAATTTTCCACGGGAGAGGTCTCTCTGGGTGCTGTCCAGGTTCCCACATCTCGCTTTGCATGAAGTTCTTCATAGGGAAGAGTGAATCTGGAAGTCTTTTTCTGTCCTGGTTTGAAACTCTCAGTTGCCGTCTGTGGAATTGCTACAAATAAGCTTGTTTCTCCCAGGGTTTCTTCAACACCTATTGGATTTTTCCCCACCAGCTGACGAAAACTCTCGCTTGAAATCAGATTCTTGCCTGGGGGGAATAGGTGCTGAAATGGCCTTCTACTTTTCTTTTGCTGTGGCTCTCCGTCTGCTTCTGTGGCTCTGAGGCTTGAGAGCACTAATAGCTGAAGGAAAAGCAGTGACATGATGCCGTTGAGCACAGCCCTGTAGACCTGCTGCCATTGCAATAACTGTGCTCTGCCAGCTTTATACAGGGGCTGGTGTCAGCTTATGGCCAATGTTTGTGTGCAGAGAGGAGGGCTGGGCTGCAGCGAGACCCTAGCGTGGCTAATTGCATTCATTTACTGTAGATTACAATTATGATAGGGGAGTTTGTGCTAATGAAACTCCGTTTCAATCTGTGTTATGTGTATTAGGAGTTCTTATCTAAGATCTAGTACCCCAGGATGGGGTGGAGGACAGAGGAAAGCAATAGGATGAAGTGTTTGGATAAGCTGTCTAGCTGAGGTCTGGGAATTAAGGAGACATTTGGGGTTTGTGTATTAGCTTGTTCAGTGTGGTCTTCATTATTTATGTTGTCGTTCCATTCCAGAAGCCAGAGACGGTTCATATAAGTAATGTTGTTTAATCACAACTAGAAAAAAAACAAGCCGATTAAAGTTCCATAAAGCATGAAGCTAGTTCCAGGGATGGCAAATCAGTCCATCAGTTATTTTCAAAGTAGCTTCTCCGTTAGGTCTTTCAGATTTTGTGCATGACCCAAACACTCTGATGACACCATTGCAAACCAGCAGGTTTGTGCTTACACAATCAGCTGAATCCTGCAGAGAACCAGCAGCCGCTGGAATGCAGCAGTATCACTAGCCTAGAATGGAAGTTCCCAAAGTGAAGAAGCAGTGTCACTGATTCTCAAAGATGGACATTCTTACTCCCTCTTTGGGCACCAAAATGATTATAGACATAGAAAATTGGTAAACACAATGAAGATTTAAGCAAAATATGTTAGAACCCACATAATTCATGGTTCTAAACCTGAATGTCTCAAGAAACATCCAAAGACTACTAGACCCTGAATGAGACATCATCTTTTGTGAAGTTATGCTATTAAGCATGTGAGAAAAAAAGTGATAGAAGAGGATGAACTCTAGTACCAGTAGACTTAAGTTTGTAGCCAGTCTGTTTCCTAGTGTTAAAAACCTACCTGGTCTGTACTGAATGTATGGCATTATTTGTTTTTCACTTCTGGGACATTAGTTTATTGCCTCATAATTCAAGCAAACTAATTGCACAACAGCATTCCTGTGAGACACTGACTTACAACTTCAGTGAAACGTTAATGGAGTCTCAGAGCGTGTCCTTATCTTGAGGCTTTAGGTTCATCACAAAGCAGAAGCACATGAAGCTCCGATAAGGATGAATTCCTATACCAATGTTTGAGTATATTTGTGCTTTCACCTCAGTGGGGCGATTGTGTTAAGGAAAACACAGCTGTCAGGCACCTATTTAATTGCTTGGACTCTGAGCAATGTAATTCTTCTACTGGCTTGATGTCTTCTTGAAGTCTCACGTGTGCCCTGAGAAGGCAACTAGGTTCTTCTACGGCTACCAGGAAAGAAACTATATAAAACCTAGGCATCTGCAGCAAGAATGAGCTCTGCCTCCAAAAGCCCTTGTATTGTATTTACGCAGGCATTAGGGTGGAGTGGCAATGAGTCAAGAGGATTAATTTGAGTGTAGATAAGATAAAATTGCCTAAAAGCCCAAGCTGAATGTTCACATCCTATTTTTTCTAGCCAGCAAGTTTAACTGAAGCTGTGGAACTTTGGATCTAAAATTTCTTTTGTATGCTGTAGGTTAAAAGTAGTCATGCAGAATTATTCAGCAAAAATAAGAACATAAGCTTCAGACCTTTCCTCCTTTTTCCCCTCATGATCTTAGTTGTTACAAGACCGGGTCAGTCTCACACAGACATACTGAAATGTGCCTAACACATTTCTCAGTCTTTCATTTGTAGCAATATATCTTTTTTGCAGCTTTTTGTTTCAAAATTTAAAAACATAAAAATAACTAAAACAAATTGAAGTTTTTCTGGGTTATTGCAATAAGACAGAGATGTTCTTTTTATTTGCTGTAAGCCACTTCTTTCACCCAGTCTTGACTATATCTAGAACATTGGTGCACTAACTGCTTAAAATCTCAAGCTTTGGTCTTATCCTATAACACCTACATATAACTTTAAGCAAAATTTCTGAAAGTCACTGATATGCCTGTTTACAAGATTGAAAACTGAGTGCCTGGAAAACCCAATTTACCTCCCATCAAAGACAAGATGAAAAAAATCCCACCACATTTGATGTAACAGGGAACGGGCTTTTATGTCTTAGTTAAATTTTAACCCTGTCTATCCTGAAACAAAAACAAACAAACAAACAAAAAACAAAAACAACAAAACATGCATGGAGGTGTATTTTACCCTCTTTATCTGATGTAGTTGAAGTATGTGTTATTAGAGTTCTTGGTTTCTGTTAGGAGCTTTTCTTTATAGCAGGACCACTTGAAAAATAATTTTATTCTGTATGTTTTAAAGAGGTCTTGCAAATGTTCAAAAATATGTATCAGGTTTTAAATAGCAATATAATGCAAAGAATTTAAGGATGTCTCTGCCAACCCACAGATAGAAAGGAAGAAATTGTTATGTCTGGAATAATCAGGATGTATCTAAACACAACACTAATATATGAGTTAAGTCTGGGTTACCAGTTAGTTAGGGTTACCACTGCAATGAAAACATTAGCAAGGAATATACAAAAGCTGAAAAAGAAATGTACTAAGCTGAAAAAGGCATACAAGATACTAAGCTAGTAGTGCTGCGTTTGTCTGTAATTTGGCAACAAATGCAGCATCAAAAAATGCTGTTTGAGATCAGGGTCCCTTTATGGTTTGTACCGTTCTGTTCTGTAACAAATACCAAATACAAGTATCTTGCAGGGTTTCAGATAAAAAATACTAATAATAATAATTGCAAAAGAGTAGGAAAAAACGCTGAAATAAAGCAGAGTGAGCAAGATCATTCTGCAATCCAGTGGCAAAGAACAAATACGTTTTTTTCTTGGATGGTTTTAGTGAGATCTGCTAGGAGCCAGAAGCAGCAAGCCAGCTCTGGTGCTGCCAGGTCAGTCTAGCGCCTTCATGCCTGTAGGAGGAAGCTGTGACTGCTTTCTGGTGGAAAGAAATAGGACCTGGTACATTGAGCACAGTCTGGTCTGTAGTAACACACATCCTGAAGCTCTTTTGGAGTCCACTCTGGTTGTAATGTCACAGGTTCTCAGTTCGACCAGAAGTCTACCTGCTTATGGAAAAGCAACCCGGCTCAGAAAGCTACTTTTCAGAGTTGTTCTGGAAATAAAAACAGTAATAAATATCTTTTAAGCCTCTTGGTGGTGACATCATCTGCACAGGCTAGTAACTGTCAATAGAGATTGGACTGGGCACATTATCCATATGTTCTACGTACGGCTCATAACAGAGTTGCACAAACTGCCATGCTGTCTCTTTTTAAAAACTTGTTTTCCTGCCTTATCACTCTCTCATATAAGCATAACATGTATTTTTGCTGCATTTTGTTGCTAAATTTTGTGGCTGTATCCTGTGGTCTCTTTCATGCAAGCTTCATTTTGCCTTCATAATAGCAATTTATTTGGGCATTCCACTTTCACTAGAAATAGTCACCATGAGTGTTTGCGGATCCTTGTAAAACACTGTCAGGTGTTGGCAAGTGTTACCAAATACCAAGTCATTTTACTCATTTGTTTCAGAGCGCAGCTTCAGTCATTTTGGACAGAAACAGAGTAATTAGTTATAGTGCCAGTTGATGCCTAAAAATAATTCTTACACAGTGCTTGAATTACTTGCCTTCTGTTGAGCTAAATACTCGCATCATAGTATGACTGATGATTAAATGATTAAAACGGATTTTATATCTTGCAGCCCATTTCAATATTCTGTAATTTTAGAAATGACATTCTATGTAGACAGACTTGTATCCAGTTATATCTTTCTCAGAACCCATATAAAGAACTCAAAACTAATGAATCAGCACTATGCAGTTTATTCTTTAATTATTACACATTAAGCCATCTGTGTTTTTTGGTCTACTGTGTTATAGTAAAAAAAAAGATCACATAGTGGCCTCACAGGGAGGTTACAATAAAGAAATGAAAAGGCTTTTACAAGGTATGATATGAAAGAATGAACTGTAAATCTAGTTAGTTTTGTATTTTTGGTCTTAGTTATTGTACTTTATCCCCTTTCCAGTTTGAAATCCACTGTTGTGGGCTTTTTATTCTGTTCTGTTTTGTTTTGGGGTGGTTTTCCATTTTGTTTGCTTTTTTGTTTGTTTTGCTCATTTATTGCCTACTGTCCAACATTTTCTCTGTGCCGTATCAACAGGACTGGATCAGAGTTTCAAGCTGGTGCTAAAATGTAGATGTTCACATTTGAAAATTCTCGCTGTTGTGTCCAGCAGAGCCGGGTAGTCTTCCCTTCATGTCTGGGGACGACATGTTCCCACACGCAGCCCTGCGCCGTAAGCAGGTCTGGCGCACGGGATGGTTTTCCTGTGCTGTAGTTCCCGGACAGTCCGATGTTGGGCAGGTGTCCACCTGAAGCACCTCCCAGCTAGTGCTGGCACATGTATATACAGACTAGTTGAGAGCATACCCGGCCTGGGGAAGCTGTATTGGGTACTTGCTTGATTCAGCCTGCAGAGCCATGGGACAGCGAGCCGAGAGGAGCAGTTTGGACGTCCCAGAGATGGGAGACTTAACAACACACATCGCCTTAGATCTTGTTAGACTGAGAGAAGAATGGTGATTCATCAAAGAGCAACAGCAAATAAATGGTTCTAGCATAACCCAATGGCGTCTTACTTTTATTTCAGTAAAAATTTACTAGAATATCTAAAAATTATGTCTGTACATACAGAATAATTTTCTTTTGCATATTATGCTTATATGTGGTACCTCAGAGATCAGAATCCTGTTCACTAGGATAATTTGGATTCCTTTTGACTGAAAGAATCATAGTATTATCTTAATATCTTAATATATTAACAAAGCAACAAACCTCAGTGTGTTCTCATCTTCCAACCTGATACAGCCTTGTACTGACATACGAAACAGTAGTTAGGCAGTGGAAACACAAGTAAGAGCTCTCCATATCATGGACAGCATGGCTTGCTGCAGGGGGATGAGAGAGAACAACTGAAATCTGCGTATCTTCCATGGAAGTGACTGAGCTTACTGAGGGACAATGAGCTTTTCTACGTTCTTCATAAACCAAGAAATGAAATTATATGGACTGATATTTTCTCTTGAATTAGTTCTCTTGAATATCTACTTGCAGACCTGTAAATTACAGAGTTTCTGAAGGAGATTCATATTTCCTTATCTTTTCATCTTAAAAAAAATGGTCTGCCCATGACATAAATGACCCTGTTGCAATAATCTGGCAATAGACACATACAGACGAAACAGAAGAAGAAACTTCATGGAGTAAACAACAGATACATTGTGTCTAGCTATAAATGCATTTCTATTATGCCCACTGCTGTGCTTGTTATCACCTGAAGGAAAAATATATTTTTAATATATATAATTCTGGAAGGAAACTGAAGAAACATGTATTCTCTAAAATGCTATAGAAGAGTTTGTACTAACACAGATTACATCGTTTCATCACAGAATCACAGAATCATTATGGTTGGAAAAGACCTTCAAGATCATTGAGTCCAACCAGAAGCCCCTCATGTTCCAGTATATATGGAGTTACAAGTACAAAAATGAGGCTAGCACCAATCTGTGTTGTAAATAAGGTAGAATCACATTATGCACTGTATTCTATATAAAATGCACTCAAAACTATACTTAGAATTTTAGAATGAGTGAAAACTCAGTAAATTTCTGTGTGTACTAAAGATTTTTTCAATCTGATTGTTTTCAGATTTAAGCTTGATTTCTTTGAAATTAATAACACATCCAAACAAATGCAAACAGTTTATTCTAAGGCTCCTGAAGCTTGGTTTCTGTGTGTTTGGTTGAATCTGGGGGACAGCAAGGAAAAATGTTCAGCTTCAGCTTTCCTCACTGTTGAATTCAGAATGTATTCTCCCTAAAAGTTCTCCGCAGTAAAAGAGCATAAGAATATCTTGGTTTGGGGAAAATTCGTCTTTGGCTAGTTGTTTTTAATTTTTTTTTTCTTTTTTGAAAACAATTGCCTTTGAGTCATCTACTCCTCTGTCGAGTTGGGTTGAAATCGTTCAACAGATTTGAAAGATATTTGCCAGGTTAACAGAGACATACTTGCACACAAGCATCGCGATCACAGTAGCCTTTCCTCCAAAGAACCAGTGTTCATTACCTGGCTAGTAGCCAACGGACTAATGCCTAGGCAGAGCTGACAGTGAGGTCAGAGTTTTATTTGTGGAGGGAGAAGGGAGATTTTAGCTTTTTCCTTTTCCATAATTCATCTGAACTACCTTAAAATAACTGAAGAGTGTTAGGATTTCACTAGACAGCATAGGGGCTGCCAAGGGACTCACACTCATGTTATTCTAACACGTGCTGTGGGGAAGGACAAGGGGTAACTCCTGGAACCGTGTCCCTCAGCACAGAGGAAGTTGGAATTGTCCCCTCTCGGGCCTGAAAGATCACTTTGAAAAACCTCAAAAGATGCAGAGGTAAAAATGGTGGAATTAATGGAGAGGCTGGTGGAATACAGGCACTGATGGAGGCAAGGGACAACGGGAACTACTGGGCAGCAGATGGGAGGGCTGAGAGTTCACGCTGCAAAGGTAAAACTCAATTTAATATGACTCCAACTGTCACACACCCATGGGCAGAGAAAGGGTTTGCGGCAGCAGGGGGTAGACTTTATTATCAATTTGTTCATTTTCGGAAACTTATGACTTGCTTCTTTTTACTTTTTTTTTAATTACATTTCTTTTTTATATAGGTAAAAAATAACTGTATTATAATACTACTAAATGAAAACAAGACAAATACATATATCTAAAATGAAGTTATTTTTCCAGATGTTTTTTCCAGTTAAATACTTTTTTTAAGCCTTTTTCAGAACTAAATCTGCATTTTATATTATTATTATAAAAGACCTCAAATCCCTAATGAGGACTTATATTAATACTTTTCAAAAAACATTGCTGCTTTGTAACAAAATATGTCTCACTATGACATTGGCTTATACACACATATAAATCCTATTGATGTTAATGTATCACAGAATATCCTATGATAATATTCTGGGATTAAGCTTCTGTATTAATTTTTTGCATAAACCTTCTTTTCAGATAGCACTAGATTTACAGAGGTCCCATTATTTAATTTCATTGCAAAAATTATAGCACCATCCTGCATTGCTGAAAAACACTGAATGACTTTGATCAGGAATGCTGAACAACATGCAGCCTTTTATGAGCAGATCCATTAGGAGATGAAGCTTTGGGATCGGGTCCTGCGTGATTAGAAAGAGAGAAGCCAGCCTCGCTCCTGCTGGCACTCTCACACGGTGAAGACTTTCCATTGGAATTCTTATCATATGGTTTTGTACTAGGACATCCACAAAAGAAAGCACCTGCATCCAAATACCATGTCTTTTTCCTCCTCACCCAAGGTAAACTGTTTTCGGCCAATGGACTGACCCATTTCTACTCCACACAGTCTTTCTCTTTCAGGGACTACAGGATAAAGCTGTATTTTTATGGCAACTAAATTAAACCAACAACCAATTCACAGTCACTTCTTCAGGGAGAAGGAAATCAAATATATTGGGTTTTTTTTTTTGATAGTTTGCTTTTAATTAAGCATGTTTACGTAGAAATTTGATGAAAATCTTCTGGCCTCGGTCTTTGGTTTTCTATCTGCCTACCCTCACGAATCTGGAAATGAAATTGAATGAACAGGAAAGGCCACATGCTTGCACAAGGATGCTCCATTCTTTACAGCTTTCTTGAGCATATATAGCTGTTCTGTTTGATCTTCCTGCAGTCCGTTGCTTGCCATTTCCCTCGCTTCTGCACCAAAACACAGTTTTTCCCTCTCTTTGGAACACGATAGGGGCCTCTTCTCCAGTTTATATAGGTGATGGGTTCTCCACCGTTCCACTCCCAATGTCCAGCATTCACTCGGTCATTCAAGCCTATGTGAAATCAGTAAGACCAAATTAGTGGTATTTATCACCCATGGAGCCCATTGCCAAAAGAAGCATGTTGTTCTATCCCTCTGTTAAAAAATGCATGTGAGATTGTGCTGAGAGGAAAAAAAGCATCTGGAGGAATACAAATAAATTGTAATTGAATATTTCATGAGGATTAGTGCCATCTGAATAAAAGAAAATACCGATTTCCCCAATGCCCACCTATCTAAAATGTTTCCTCTGTTTCCATTTATTGCATGTCTGTCACTTCCCCAGTTTCCCTTTTAATAGTTAAAGCGCTAAGCAATGTTCTGCTCATGCTTAGGCAACTTCAGACTTTAATCAGATTCCTTCTGAAAAATAAAATCCTGCAGAACCTCACATACCTTTACGCCGTTGAAAACATGATAATTTTAACAGTATGGAACATGGCTTTTCACATTGCCTCTGAGTTAATACAACCTAAAAAGGTATTTCAAACATCGTATATATTCTTAGGCAGAGGAAACCATAGTCAGAGGATTAATACCAGAGGTTCGGGCTGTTTATTCCTATCGGAAGGGTTATTTCTCTCAGATTAACAGAATCATCATATCAGTAAGCACTACTCCAAGCTGACTGTAGTTTTTACACTACTACTAAAGCTGATATAGTATCACCAGTGAATCCACCTCGGAATATTAGCTATTTGAGAACTGCAGGACACAGTTTGAAAAAAATACCTAAAAGGTGAAAGTTCAGGAAGAAGAAAGTCAGAAAAAAGAAATGGCAGTAATCTATCAGCTGAGACAGTTTTTCACAGAAAGGGATATCAGGAAGTAAAGAGAAGGCCTATCTAAGATCTATCTTTTAAAAAATGAAAAGTACATAACAAATAGTGAAATGTAAAGTGGTGGATAAAATATTCTTTAACTTATCATATACTTATTTCACAGAGTTTTTGATACAAGATGTCACTGATACACAGTTACATAATAATTATTTAAAATAATCATATAAAGGTAAACAGCATAATAGTCAAAAGAAAGTGGCATAAACAAAAGTACAAGAATTCTACTGGAAATTATTTCATCATCTAGGATAAAAATGGGAAAGGTTTCAAGGCAAGAACACCTGAGCAACTCAGCAAGTTCCCACATAATGAAGTTTTTATCCTTTTGATAAAAACGTATAAAGGTAGCAAGGTGGATGATGGCTTTCCACTTATGCCGTGCTCTGAAATGATAAAAGCATTGGAAAGTTGAGGACAAGGCAACATTTGAAAATGTGTGAGGAGCTGCTGTAGCAGTTCTTGTTTTCAAGGGCCGTCTGAGGAGACAGTCAGCTGAGGTACTTGCCTATCCAAAAGGGCTTCCTCCCGCCGAAGTCCCACAGCCACTTCATGTGCTGTTCATTAGCCACACTTGCCAGGCTCCCCAGGTATCTAGGCTCGAGAAGAGAGGACAGCACAATGAGGATTCCTCAGCGTGACAGACGTCTCCCACGGGGTTACCAACGAGAATCACTGATTCTCGTAAAAAGCATGTAGCTAAAATTTCACAGGAAAAACAATGCTTGCATGAAAAATAATTACATGAAGATAAAATCCTGAAATTCTGAATTATGTGGAAAGGAGGCTTCTTATTTTGACTGCTGTCTCAACTTACCTCATAAAAATTAAATCAGCTCGCAATTGAAAGAAGTATGTAAAGGAAATGTATGTATCATAGTCACAAACAGTTTTGAACAGTTTTAAGTACACTTAAGTACATTTAAGTCCTTTTCTGTAAATCAGAACTATTCTGCAGAAAGCAGCACATTTTCTTTTTTTTTTTTTTTAATAATCTGTCTATAGAATTTAGGCAATAGGCTCTGAGCAAAAACAAGAAAGGGAAGTTCATCTGAATTCTGCTTAAGGATAGTCAAAGCTCTGGAATGAAATAGTTTAATTTAAGAAGCTTAGCTTATGTCTGGTTTTTCAATTGTTTTAGGCATATTAAAAACTAAAAAAAAAACCTGCCAGGTTCTATTGCTAACTGCTGTGTCATTTAGAACATATGGGGTGGTCTGAGCAACCACCGCCGCACACTCTTACTTCAGTCTGAGTACAGAGAAGAGGCTTTAGCATTCTGAAAAGAAAGCACTGCAATAGCTATAACCTTATCTAATCTTGTCTCAGTAGGAGTACTTTCTAAATACAGCCTGAGTAATACACATGGCTGAAGAGCAAACAACCATTCTAACTGTTAAACCTAGTCAGAGTTTTAGACTTTTTTGGGGAGGAAATGAGAACAGCCTTGAAGGAATGTACCACTTGTGATAACAATACTAACCTGTACCACCGGGCACAGGAAATGACAGGATAATGTTATTTATGGAGTTACGTAGATCTACCACTTCCAAATTTAAATTAGTCTAGAGAAAGTGTCATAGCATCTTACTAAAAAATAAATAAGAAAAAGTACATATCAAAAATAAATAAGAAAAGTACATATCACTAATTCCTGTGTCAAATAAGTCCATTTGAAAATTATGTCTGTGTTCTTTGAAGTTTCTGCTGTCAAGTCAGCCCAACCATCATTTCAGAGCAGTTAACTCAAACAAGTATTTCAAGTAGCCATTGACTTTGAGGCATTGTATGCAACACATTCAGCACAAAGAATTTGCTGATTTTACAGGAAATTACACAATACAACTGGATTTTGAGTCATTCTGATAAACCTAAGTTCTACAAAAGCATATTTGGCTAACTACATAAGTTTCCACAGCACAGAAACATGAACTTCTGTAGTAATCCATGTCTGTACATGGGCAGTGCAGGGAGGAATTACCATCTCTGGGCTCTGGCTTGAGTTCTGGTTTACACAACCGAGGAAATAATTCAGTGCCTCAAAATAGTGCTGAAAACCCCCAGATGAGGCCGCGAGTCTCCTGGCGGCAGGAGAAGCCGTTTCCCATGCCCGTGAGCCCGGCAGCAGTGACCCTTTGGGGAGGGCTTGTCCCTTTGAGAGCTGCAAAGCAAAGCAACAGAACTGCTGCTACGCCAGGCTGCTATGGGACCATCACACTGGCTCTCAGATGCTTCTCTTCATGTTGCCAAGAGGCTTTTCATGCATAAACAAAACAATAAAATAAAGGAGTTCGTAAAGTGCCTTGAGGTTGCGCTACAGGTAGGGTAGAAATGGAACAAGATTTTTAGAGCAATGCCCCCAATATCACCATGATATGCTGCAACCTGTGTCGAGACAAGCAGCTCTTTATGTATTCTTCTATTCCTGCCTAGGGAATCTGTACAAAAGGTTGATAGGCCACCTACCGCAAACAGGTCAAAACTCGGTGCTGAAACACAAAGTGATACAAGTCCAAACTGCTTTGTATAAGCCCATTTAAATATGGTTATGTCTATACTTTAATTGCTTCCACAATAAATTGATAGCATTGCTTTGACTCAACTGCTTGGTCTCAAGTTCATCATCTCAGGGTAACAGGGTTTTCTCTAAAAATACTGAGGGCTAATTAGTTGAAAACTGCCACTGAAGCAACTTTTTAACATTACATTCTTTTTCCTGTGCTTTATTTATCATAGTGAAAATCCAGCAAGAATGCTGAAAAGAAACTGAAAATAAAGCAGCTTACATAGCTGAAAATGATTCTTATTTTTCAGTTAAGCTGGCTGATCTCCTGAAACTTAGTCATAATCTTTTCATTTAATATCCATTGTTCCTATTGCTATAAAAAAACAAAGGAGATGCCTTTATGCTGATTTCATTTGGTTTTTGGAGAATATGAGCTTTTTAATTGCCAACAATAGAAGTATTTATTACAAAAATACCAAAATTGGGGGGAGAACAAAAGAAGCAAAAGGAATGTATTAAGTTATCCTCTAGTAACACTTTAAATGAATATAACCTTGCTTTTGCCTGGGGTTGGGCTTTCGTAAACTGATTCCAGATGGGTAAATGGATTCCATTTACTATGATAAAGCTTCCTCAGTCTGCAGTAATTAGACATTAATTAAATTATCACTAGGATTCATTTGTGTGTGAATTCAGTGATATGCCCTCACCCTTTCCATAGGCGCTTCATGCTGTCACCTCCTGTTTACACTCCTTTAGGGAATGGGAAATACCTCCACAGGAAATGGACATACAACTAACTCAGTGAGAATTCCTAAGGGCTTGACTGAATGCTAAAGACTGTAGGAAAAATATTAGGAGATACACAACACAGTTTTGTTTGTGGCAGTGTCGGAATGCAGAAAAACAGATGAAATATAGCTACCTCAGGAGTTGAAATTTTGAGCAAAACAATTTGCAAATTCTGAAATTTGCAGCTATTACCTGCTGTGGCTCTCCAGAGCAGGTAATAGAAAGATGAGTTTTCGTAAGAGAAGCTGACATCATCTGGCAGTTACAAGAACTTAGACTTTACTTTTGCATGTTACCAGAACAAAATAAGCTGTCACATCTGCCTGGAATAAATTGAGGCTTGTTACGTCTGTTTGTCTGTACTTCATGTCACCTTTGAGTTCTGAAAATATTTTTTGAATATGCCAGTCTCCAGCTCTTCCCTGTCTAGCTGTCATTTCAGGGAGAAAGGGAAAGGGTCCATTAAAGTACAATCTATGATTCAACTTGTTCTAAAATCTCAAGCTCTTCTTTCACCGGAATTCAGCGTAATATGGAGAACACATGTGATCCTACTGCAAACTCCATTAGTCATGGCCAAAGTAACTCTTATTAAAAAAAAAATCACAAAGTGACCTTCCAAAAAGCAAGACTGACTTAAATGTTGGATTTTCTATTTGCCTCCTACTTTGAGACAATTATTATTATTTATTTTAGCTTTTTTTTTCCATCCATGAAAAGCAGAAATGTACTTTTTCTTTAAGTTAAAAATTTCAAATAGTTAAATATTCTGAAGAACTAAGTGTTCAGACAACTGCTGTGAGGCCCACAGGAGCTGGCAACATTGTGCTGTCCTGCATCAGATGAAGACAGAGCTAAGAAACTGGTTGGTCAAAGAAGATGAAAGAGACTTTGCCCTGTTTCTCTTCTCCCAGACTAACACTAATGCCTTTCCCACTGGGAAAGCAGCCTCACTGCAGCTGCACAGTTTCAAGAATTCATGTAACAAATAAGGTAAGCACCCAAAACCTTATGAGACTAACAGCATTCATATCCTCCACCAGGTCAGAAGCCTGGGACCTGTTATATTTTCTCTCTCTTGTGCAGCAGAACAAAAGCAGAGCTTATCAGAATGAACTCAGCCACAATAGCATTCAGTTTAGAGAAGCAACCAATGCACAAAAAGCACATTTGTTTCAACAAAAAGCTCTTACTGTTCTCTACAAGCCCGAGCAGCGGTATTCCAGGAGACCTTGTGATTCACCACCAGGAAATAGCAGCTGCCCTCATGATGACTCCATCCAGCAGGGCATTTTTTTGTACTCACTTCCTGAAATAAAAGGCAAAAAGGCAAACTAGGCTGCTGCTCACAGTGGCCCAGCTCTGCACACTAGTGATCCGGCTGGAGGCTGGAGGTGCTACTCACGGTTCCCAAGAGTTCACTTGAATTGAACTCTGACTTTGGTATATATGTTAAACTAAAACATTGCTTAGGAAAAGTAAAGGAATGGCCTGCCAGAGGAACCTACAACTTAATGTAAGTATTGAATTAAGGCTAATTCCATATGGTTTCAGATTCAGAGACCCTCTTAAAAAAGTACATTTGCTTGGGTGTTGCTTTCTGGCTTCCACCATCTATGCAGAGAATTAAGTGTAACAAAATTCAAATTGGGATATTAAGGAAGGGCAGGGTGATGTGTATTTATAGAATCTCTAATTGAATTGATTTTAGTCCCTCACACTCATTCGCCAACAGATTTCAGCCACTCACTCTCTCAAGCCCACACTCCCGCTAGCACCAAGACATCTGTGCCCGACGGTCTGGCAGGATCACTTGTGTGTGACACAGAGGAAAGGCAACCTCAGCCTCAGGCCCTCATCACATCCCTGGAGATATTCTCACTTTGTGCCTGCAAAACTCACTTCTGGCCAACTATTTTTTGTCCTGTTGAGTCATTAGTTGTTACAGGGTGGTCCTTTGCTTCAGAGTCCTTCTCATTGTAATCTCCATAAACCTAGGCAAGGTTGCAACTGATTGTTTGTTTTCCTTTGTTTATTAGAAATTGTAATAGCACTCCTGTTTCTTCTGTGATCTAACAGAATATCTAAGAGAAAAAGCAGCATATTCTGCAGCCTTGTTGCCATACTTCTGTTTCTAGGATGCAGGATCTTTCACTGCCAAATCATCTTTGATGTGGTTGACTCAGAGCGCAGGCCTTCTGGTCTGCAGGTAAGCAACACACACCTCAGCTTTATCATAGAATCATAGAATCACAGATTGCTTAAGGTTGGAAGGGACCTCCAGAGATCATCTAGGCCAACCTCCCTGCACACGCAGGGTCACCTAGAGCACGTGGCACAGGACTGCATCCAAGCGGGTTTTGAAGATCTCCAGAGAAGGAGACTCCACAACCTCTCTGGGCAGCCTGTGCCAGGGCTCTCACTGTTAAAAAATTTTTCCTTAAGTTCATGCGGAACTTTTGGTGCTTCAGTTTGTGGCCATTGCCTCTAGTTCTGTTGGTGGCCACCATTGAAAAGAGGCCAGCACCATCCTCCTCACTGCCTCCCTTGAGGTACTTGTAGACACTGATCAGGTCCCCTCTCAGCCTTCTCTTCTCCAGGCTGAACAGGCCCAGCTCCCTCA